AAGCCTACGGGCCGCATTACTGCTTAAGACCCAGCCGCCTCTTTGGCATGGGCAAAGTCAAGAAGAGTGGACTATGAGTCGCTACGGGCCACATTATTGCTAAAAACCCAGTCGCTTCCTCTTCATGGGCAAAATCAGCAAAAGTGAACTATAAGTTGCCCCCAGAGCCTAAGGGCAACAATATTGAACTAGCGGAGACCTCCTCACCTTACGGGTAGCTCGCCACTTTCAGGCAGCTCGCTACATACAGGCAATTCTCCACATATAGGCAGCTCCCAAAGTCTAAGGAATTGGATCAACACTTACTGGCTCGTTGACTTATGGGTCAAAAGAAGAAATCTACTCCCTTCGCTAAGTTACTCTCAACTCGGGAGTGGGGGGCAAATGATAAGGGCGGATTTGGCCCTCCAGTAAATTGTGACACCTGGCACCTCATGCAAGCCAAGTCCCTCCAGTGAAATTGTGACACCTGGCACCTCATGCAAGCCAAGTGCAGCCTCTTGACAACTGGGCAGATCGGGCAGCTCGGCATAGCTCGCCACAGGCAGCTCGGCAGAGCTTGCCACAGCTCGCCATAGGCAGCTCGGCAGAGCTTGCCACAGCTCACCACAGGCAGCTCGGCATAGCTCACCACAGGCAGCTCAGCAGAGCTCGCCACAAGCAGCTCGACATAGCTCAGGGAGCTCGACATAGCTCGCCACTTGCAGGGTAGCTCGGTACAGAAGAGAAGTTCGGCATATCGCAGGAAGATCTCCTACCTGACAATCATACCTGAAAGATCAGGAGACCTGCGCCCACGTCTCTCGCTAGGTGGCGCCATGCCTGCCAGCCCTGAGAGTTATCCCTTGCCTAGCAGAGCCATACTCTGCAACAGCTACCTGCACCCGCCACTTCAACTTTGGCAGTAATGGCTGCGGCAGAGAGACAGAGGCGGTTATGCCTGACTTGACAGAGGCTGTTATGCCTGATTTGATAGGACACCACTATATAAGGACTCTGACCCCCAAAGACAAAGGGATGGAAAAAATGGAGGTAATCCCTTCTCTCTAGCTCTCTCATTTCTCCAATATCATCCTCAAGCTCTCTACAATCAGAGTGCTAACTTAAGCGTCGGAGAGTCTCCGCCGGGAAAATACCCCCGAGGTCCTCTGATTCAGTTCTCGTAGGTCCCTCAGCTCCCGCTGCCTACAAAGAGGAGGAAAAGATGGAGTTCTCCCAGGTCCCTCAGCTCCCACTGCCTACAAAGGAGAGAAGATCACCTCATGCAGAGGGCAGTCAGGTTGCGCTGCACCAGGGAGCTCCACCATTCTGTGAGTCACAGGCCGCCTAGTAGTAGGGAGCTCGTCACCAGGCAGCTCACCACCAGGGAGCTCGTCACCAAGTAGCTCACCACCAGGGAGCTCGTCACCAGGTAGAACACCACCAGGGAGCTCGTCACCAGGTAGCTCACCACCAGGGAGCTCGTCACCAGGTAGCTCACCACCAGGGAGCTCGTCACCAGGTAGCTCACCACCAGGAAGCTCGTCACCAAGAAGCTCGTCACCAGGAAGCTCGTCACCAGGCAGCTCATCACCAGGGAGCTCCTCACCAAGTAGCGTGTCACCAGGTAGCTCACCACCAGGGAGCTCGTCACCAAGTAGCTCACCACCAGGCAATTCACCACTAGGGAGCTCTACCATCCTCTCCTGGGAGTAGGTCAAATGACGAGGCACTTAGCCAAAAAAAATTTGATACATCACAAAAAATTGGTACGTGACCAGAAACGGTTACATCAAAAACAAAACTTAAAAGGAAATAAAGAAACATGAAACAACTAGAATTCCTAAAGTGCATAAATGAAAAATATAGTTCTAAGTTATAGTCGTTAGCTTGACTCTGTTTCCATTTTCATGGATCCTTCAAGTGAATGGTGGACTTGAAGAAATGATTATGTCCACCATCAATGTAAGGCTTCAATCTTTGCTGATTGACTTTGAAAGTCCCCTTAGTTTCGTTAGATACTTCAATTGCACCATGAGAAAAAACTCTAGTTACTATGTATGGACCAATCCATCTTGACTTTAGTTTGTTGGGAAAAAGCTTCAATCTAGAATTATAAAGAAGAACCTTGTCTCCAACTGTAAACTCTTTCTTTTTAATGTGTGCATCATGCCATGCCTTGGTTATTTCTTTATAAATTCTAGAATTCTCATAAGCATGGTGCCGCCATTCTTCAAGTTCATTCAATTACATCTTTCTTTGTTCACCTGCAACTTGCAAATCAAGTTAAACAGTTTCATTGCTCAATATGCTTTATGCTCTAATTCAATAGGGAGGTGACAAGCCTTACCAAACACCAACCTATAAGGAGACATTCCAATGGGTGTTTTGAAAGTTGTCCTATAGGCCCAAAGTGCATCATCCAATTTCATTAACCAATCCTTCCTAGATAAGCTCACAGTCTTTTCCAAAATACCTTTCAATTCCCTATTTGAAATTTCTACTTGTCCATAAGTTTGGGGATGATAGGGGGTAGCAATCTGATGGGTAACACCATATTTAATTAATAAATTATCAAACTGTTTATTGTAAAAGTATTTACCTCCATCACTAATGATAGCCCTCGATGTACCAAATCTAGTAAAAATAATTTTTTTTCAAGAATTTGATTACAACCTTAGCATCATTAATGGGACATGCAATTGCTTCCACCCATTTACTCACATAATCAACAGTAACAAGTACATACTCATTATTGAAGGATTTTGGAAAAGGACCCATGAAATCAATGCCCCAAACATAAAAAATATCACAAATAAGAATATTGTTTAGGGGCATCTCATTTTTCCTTTATATATTACTTGTCCGTTGGCATCAATCACAAGAACTTACATAGGCATAAGCATCCTTGAATAATGTAGGCCAATAAAATCCACTTTGTAAAACTTTTTCCGCCGACTTGGATGGTCCATGGTGTCCACCTACTTCTTTTTCATGACAAAAACTAAGTATACTCCGCACTTCTTCCTTTGGTATGCATCTTCTCACCATGCCATCTGCACAAATCTTGTATAGATATGGTTCTTCACAAAGATAGTGCCTTACATCAGATAAAAATTTCTTCTTTTGATGAAAAGAAATGTTAGGGGGCAACTCGTCACCTACAAGAAAATTAGAAAAATCAGCATACCACGGTTCATCATTATCATGCACAAAACATAATTTATCATCAGGAAATTCATCTTGCGAAGGGTGTTCATCCATGCTCACCACATACTCCCCGTCCAATCTAGACAAGTGATCAGCTACCATGTTTTCGATGCCTTTTTTGTCTTTGATTTCTAGGTCAAATTCTTGCAACAATAAAATCCATCTTATCAACCTAGGTTTTGCATCTTTTTTAGTAAGTAAATACTTCAATGCAGAATGGTTAGCATAGACAATCACTTTAGACAGGACCAAATAAGTCTAAATTTTTCAATAAAAAATATTCAAGCAAGTAGTTCCTTTTTAGTTGTATAATTTCTTTGTGCATCATTCATGGTTCTATTTGCATAATAAATGGTATGAAATTTCCTGCCTATTCTTTGTCTTAAAACTGCACCTAAAGTATCATCACTTGCGTCACACATGATCTCAAAAGGCAAATTCCAAATGGGAGCCGAAACTATGGGAGCTTGGATCAATTTCTCTTTTAAACAATTAAATACATGCAAACAAGTACTATCAATCACAAACGGTGCGTCCTTCACTAAAAGATTAGTTAGAGGCCTAGCAATTTTAGAAAAGTCCTTAATGAACGTTCTATAAAAATCTGCATGTCCCAAAAAACCTCTAACTTCTTTCAATGATTTTGGAGGGAGAAGTTTCTCAATTAGTTCAATTTTAGCTCTATCTCAAGCATGCATCGAATGAAAATCCAAAAGCAGAGAAGTCATCCATAAATATCTCCATAAAATCATCAATGAAATCCGAAAATAGAGACATCATGCATCTTTGAAAAGTAGTAGGGGCATTGCACAAACCAAAAGGCATTCTCCTAAATGCAAATGTTCCATAAGGGCATGCAAAGGTAATTTTCTCTTGGTCTTCAGGAGCAATAGGAATTTGGTGATAACTAGAATAACTATCAAGAAAATAATAAAATTCTTGACCAACAAGTTTTTCAATCGTTTGATCAAAAAAGGGAAGGGGGAAATGATATTTTCTAGTAGCATCATTCAATTTCCTATAGTCGATTCATACTCTCCAACCTGTTATTGTCCTTGTAGGGATTAATTCATTATTTTCATTTTTGACTACAATGCTCCCACCCTTTTTTGGCACAACTTGCAAAGGACTTACCCAAGAAGAATTAGAGATAGGAAAGATAATACTTGAATCAAGCCATTTTATCACCTCTTTCTTTACTACCTCTTTCATATTAGGATTTAACCTCCTTTGGGGATGTACTATAGGCTTGATTCCTTCTTCTATCATGATTTTGTGCATGCAAACTGATGAATTTATTCCTTGAATGTCATCGATGCTCCATCCAATCGCCCTTTTGTGTTCTCTAAGCACCCTTATCAACTTTTCTTCTTCAAGACCTATCAAGTAATAAGAAATAATCACAGATAAGTAGATGAATTCCCCAAATCAACATAGTTTAAATGCGAAGGAAGAGATTTAAGTTCAAGAGTAGGAGACTTCTCGATTGATGGCTTGGCTTTTGAAGAAGAGGAAGAAATATCCAAAGGCAAAAATTTTTCTCTTTTTGTCACGAATCCTCTTTGCTTTTCTCCCAAATAGCCTATGGCCTCCTTATTCCTCTCATCTAAAATTTGTTCATTTACATTAAAAGAGTTAGCAATGCAATTTTCTATAGGATCATCTAACCTAAATGCATGAAATTTTCTTTCTACCAAATCATCAATGCAATATATCATTAAGACTTATTTTTCATCATTAGAATGTTTCATAGCCTTAAACACATTAAAAATAACTTCCTCAACATTAATCCTAAGGCTAAGTTTTCCTTGTTAGACATCAATTAAAGCTCTTCCGATGGCAAGAAAAGGTCTCCCTAAAATTATGGGCATATCATAATCTTCTTCCATATCCAAAATGATGAAGTCAATAGGAAAAATAAATTTATCTACTTTTACCAAAACATCTTCCACTACTCCCCTTGGATATTTGACACTTCTGTCAGCCAATTGTAGAGAAACAGCGGTAGGTATTGGCTCTTTCAACCCAAGCTTCCTGAAGACAGAAAAAGGCATCAAATTAATGCTTGCACTAACTTCACATAAAGCCTTATCAAAATTAATTTCGCCAATGGTGCATGGAATAGAGAAGCTCCCTGCATCCTTGAGTTTTGGAGGTAATTTATTTTGTAGGATTGTTGAGCATTCCTCATTAAGTTTTACCATCTCAAACTCCTCCAACTTTCTTTTGTTTGAAATTATTTCCTTCAAAAATTTGGCATAACTTGGCATCTGAGAAATAGCATCAACAAGAGGATTGTTAATATGCAACTTTTGAAACACCTCTAGAAATTTAGTAATTTGCTTATCCAACTTATCCTTAAGAAATCTTTTAGGAAAAGGAAGAGGGGGTTTGTAGGATTTTAAATTAAGAGTAGAAGAACTTCCATTTTTCTCCATTAATGACTCGTAGTCTCCTTTGGATTCAAGGTTTCGGCTTTCTTCCTCTTTTACCTGCTCATCATCTTTTTCTTTTTTTCTAAGTTCTTTTCCACTTCGTAGAGTGATGGCCTTTACTTGTTCCTTGGGATTCTTCTCGGTATTGCTAGGTAATCCTCCTTGTGGCCTTGCCGAAATTGCTTGAGCAAGTTGTCCAATTTGAGTTTCTATCCCTTGAATTCTTGCCTCCGTACTGTTGATAAATTTTTCCATCATATCCTCTAAATTTGGTTTCTTCTCTTGTGGATTTTATTGTTGTTGCTGTTGAAAGTCGGGATGTGCTCTTTGTTGGTTATTACTCCAAGAAAATTTTGGATGGTTTCTCCATCCTGGATTGTAAATGTTGGATTAGGGATTGAAATTGGACCTGTTGCCACCATAAGAAACAAAATTAGCGTGTTCAGAAGAAGAAGAAAATGGATTTCCTACTTGACAGTCTACACTAGCGTGTCTCCCTTGCCCACAAAGTTCACAAGAAGGGAAGGGAACAGAAGAAATACTCATAGCTGAAACCCCCAAATTTTCTAATTTCTTATTTAATGCAGCAAGTTGAGCCAATAAAGCAGTGATAGAATCAACATTATAAATTCCAACTCCCTTTTTATTTGCTCTATCATTTCTCCATTGATAACTATTGGCCATCATCTCCTCCAAAAGTTCATATGCTTATTCGGGAGTTTTACTCATAAGGGTACCACCTGTAGCTGCATCTAACATTGAACGATTAGATTGCTTAATGTCACTATAAAAAGTTTGCACTTGCATCCAAACAGGTAGACCATGGTGAGGACACTTCCTAAGTAGTTCCTTAAATCTCTCCCATGACTCATATAAGGTTTCATTATCAAATTGAGAAAAAGTTGTTATGTCATTCCTTAATTTAGCCATTTTAGAAGGTGGAAAATACTTAGATAAAAACTTTTGTGCCAAGTCATCCCGTGTAGTAATTGAACCTGTAGGAAGAGAGTTAAGCCAATCTTTTGCTTTGTCCCTTAAGAAGAAAGGAAATAACCTAAGTCTAATGGCATCATCACTAACTCCATTATACTTAAAAGTATCACATATTTAAAGAAAATTTGCAATATGAGAGTTAGGGTCATCATTGGGGCTAGAAAATTGCACACTCATCCGGATCATTTGAATAATTGCAGGCTTGATCTCAAAATTGTTTGTTTGGACATTCGGCCTCCTAATGCTTGATGTAGTATCATCCAGAGTAGGTATAGCGTAGGAGATCAATGTCCTTGGGTTATTTTGGTCTTGAGCAATCTTGTTCTTTCTCTCCCTTGTTCGCTTTTTCAAAGTCCTTTCGATTTCTTGATCAAGGGATATTAATTCTCCACCACTAGTGTGTGTCATGCACTAGGAACCTTTAAAGAAAAGAAAAAGAAAGAGAAAAAAAATTAAAAATTTCCTAAAAAATTTTATAAAGCCAAACCCAACAAAAATTGAAATGGAAAATTTTAAATCCGAAAATAAAACAAATAGATGTTCAATCTAAGGCTAATTCAGGAAATTTTGATATGTAATAAACTAGTCCCCGGCAACGAAGCCAAAAACTTGTTGTGTGATTTATGCACAATTAATTCAGGCAAGTGTACCTTAGTCAAATGTGCGTATAATGATGAGAAAAGTGTCGATCCCACAGAGACTAGATCGCAGTACCAAATCAATTTTAAACTAACCTAAGTTGAACTCGTGAATCAATTGAATGAATAAAAACTAAAAGAATTAATGCAAATCCAATAACTTAATAAAAACTGAATTGATGGATGAATGCAGCTAGGGCTTAGATTTCATTAAATCAATGTTATATAATTATCTATTTAATCCAACTCAAGACCGAAATTACCCTAAGGTATATTAAAGTTATTTGCATGTGATGGTGGATTTCCCTAAATTAATTCATAAGCTTTCTCAAGTCATATTAATCTTTTATTAATCCAATTCTACCATCAAATTTCTAAGTGGTTGTCAAAAGGAAAAATAAGCATTAATTTCTTTGGAAACCTCTAATCGTAAAAGGGGATTTGACTCAGTAAGCTTCCTTGATTTCCACACATGAGCTAATCATCTTTCGATATCATAGTCTTTCATGCGATTTTTATTGCCTAGGGATCTAATTCATAACAATCATTTGATCAGTCATGTATAAATCATCAAATCATTAAAAGATTGGCCAATTCTTTTAAAGCATTAAGCATAACAATAAAAATTTCTCATGCAAATAATAAAGGTCTTGAATTGAATTAAGCAAGTAACTATATAATCTTAAGATCAAAATCCATCTAAACCCTATCTAAGAGAATTTAGCTAGACATCATTAAATTCAACATATTTAAGAAAATTAAAGGGGAAACACATCAAGAACACATCAAAGAATGAATAGAATAACAAGAAAACTTTAGCATTTGAAGGTAGAAGACAAGTGCAGAAACTAAGCATTTCTCCCTTTTGAATTCGAATTCTTCCTCTCCTTCTCTGGCATGCTGAAATTGCTTCCTCTTCTCTTCTGATGTGCTGAGACTGTTTCCTCTTCTCTTCTCTGCTAAATTCTCTCTAAGGATGTAACCCTTTGCCTTGAGTCCATGGTCCTTTTTATAGTGCAGCCTCCCCTCAATTTCTTCTCAATGCAGACTCCTAATTCAACACAAATTAGGTCTCTTAGTCTTTATATCAGTTGAATTCTTATCTCTTTCTGCCTATTGCCAGACCCGAAACTTGTAGCTCGAATTTTACTTGGTTAGTGGTGGAATTTGGTTGAGTGATAAACACAAGAATTGTAGCCCTATCTCTTAGATTTAATTATCCGTTTGAATCACCTCAATCCGAGTTGTAGGCAAAACGTTATGCCCAAAATACGGGAATATATCAAAACTGGAAATTTCCTGATTTTTGTGCATACATATCGAATCCGATTTCAATGGATTCTCTCCTTCATGGCTACATCATGGAGCATCATTGCTGCATGGTCCTTTCTCTATGATTATCTTGATCAATTAAATCAAAATCCTCCTTAAAATTGCACAATTAAGCTCCAAATCATCTTACAAGACAATTTCATCATAATTAGTGCAATATCATTCTAATTCCAAAAACATTATTACCCAAAATCATCAAGTTAGAGGTATGAAAATATGTACAAATATAGGCTTATCAGTGTTGTGATTGAAAAACAACATTGCTTTTATGCTTCCAAGGTCCAAATACTCCAAACAAGAAAGACCCATTAAGATTCAATTGTTTTGGACCAATTATCCATTCATTCATTAAGTTTTGGCATAAAATCAAGATGGTTCACAAGTTGCCACACTTGTTTAGAAAATCTACAATCAATGAATACATGATCGCTTGATTCAGTGGATTCTCAATAGAGTATACAAACTGTATCTATGTCGCATCAACGAAACTAGGGAGATTTTGACTTTAGGATGAGTTTTTAGCTTTCCAAAGAGACTTCTGATTTGAGAATACAACCATGTAAGCAGATTTGATGGTAGATTTCCCATTAGGACTGCCACACAACCCCATTTTATCAACTAGACCCGACTCCAAAATATAAGAATTGATTTCCATTTGAAGAAGAACTGTAGTTTAGATGACACTTAATTTACTAATATCCCAACTTTAAGTCTCTTTGATAAGTTGTTTTTCCATAGACATAATTCATAGTTATTTTCACTACTATTATTGAGGAAATTCAGTAATGGATCATTTTGGTTTGTTAAAGTAGATTCAGTGGACCAGTATAGCATACTAACTAAGCCTACCATATTACAAACGGTGGCTCACCGAATGAGCCCACCATATCACAATCAGTGGCCCAGTAGTAGGAGCCCACCTATACATTGTATGCAGTGTGTTGAGAGGAGTGTGGTGTTGGGTACAAGTGAGGTTCTGGTGAGGCCATTTTAGTACTGTATTTTCTTTTGTTTATAGTGAAGAAGTAAAGCTCTGGCTGCTACCCGTGGATGTAGGCAATTTGACCGAACCACGTTAAATCTGGTGTTCTCTCTCTCTTCTTTCTTTCTTTGGCTTTCTTGTCATTTGCATTTGTTTCTTTCTATGCACATACAGATTATATTATCCACTATGTCATTCCAACATGGTTCAGTATCTATCCATGGCAATGGGGCGAGTGGGGACTAGGAGCCACTCCTCATATCTGTTATCACAAAAATCCCTATTTCCATCCCTATCCCTGTCTTTGCTAGTGGGGACAAGGTTATCCCTATCCCCAAGTGTAAAACGGGCGAGATGTAGGCCGGGCTGGACTAGGCCATAGGCCGGGCCTTGGGCGTGGGCCAAACTAGGCAAGACTAGTTTTTTTTTTTGACATTTTTGATTTTTTATTTCTTTGCTAAGTAAAAAAAAATATTTTACTTTCCTTTGGAAACTATTTAAAAAGAAAAGAAATCTAACAAAGACATGAAAAAAACACTTAACCAAATAAGAAGTTTAAGAGACAAAGACTTAAAGTGAATAACAAATTAAAAGAAAAATAGGAATTTTATTTCATTTAAATTTGAATGATACAATGATTCGATGAATGAAATATGAAAATTGGAAAATGGAATAAACTAATAAAATATAAAAAATACAATATAGTTACAAATTGAAAATAAAAAATTACATTTTTAAAAAATATCAAATAAACTAAATACCCCCTATATACTTGTTTATAGCTATTGGGGGTATTTCTATAAAAAAAAAACCTATATAGCTACGGGCCCATGGGCGGCACGGCACACACAATCGTGCAGGCCCATGGACCTGGAACCCCATGCCCAGCACGGCCCGAACCATCGTGTAGTGCCTGGCACGACTCGATTTACACCTCTAGCAGTGATTTTTTATAGTCAATCATTTTGTTTTTGTTTTTTATATCATTTAAAAAGGGTAAATTCCAAATCAGTACCTTGTACTTTAGGCCTAGTGTCACTTTGGTACCCAAATTTCAA